AAAGTGTATTAATGCTCATCTAACAATAACCGCAATTTTCACTGAAATTACGAAAATGCCACCGTTTTTTTGTTTTGATATCAGCTTTCTTGTAATAACACGGTGCTCATTATTAGACGCTTAATACTCATTAAAATTGGACTATTGCTCATTAAACGTTTATTATTGCTCATTCACTAGAAACCGTGAATTTCATCTCAATAGCGGATGTTTGATGCTCAAATATTAAATGTGAATACATAACGCGTGAAATGAGTATCAAAAAGTTCAAAATGAGCATTACGCCAATATGCATGGATATGACATTTAAGTTGTCTCGTGTAATGCTCATTTTAAAATGAACATTACACCAATATCAAATGAGCATAGCTAATTTACGAAATGAGCATAGAAAATTTTTAAAAGCTCATATAAAATATCGAGTATGCTTAAATATCAATTTGTGTATTCAGTATGCTCAACAGACTAGGTCTGGTGCTCATTAAAAGTTCATTATTACTCATTCTACAGAAGTCGTGATTTTCATCTCAATAGTGGAGGTTGGATGCTCAATTAAAATTTTATGATGTTCAACTAACAAACCTTACGATTTTCATATCAATGTGCACTTTGTAAGTTATGTATGTTCATTTGGTACTCATGTTATGCTCATTTTTACAATGTCATATCAATGAGATGAAAAAATCACGGTTTCTATTGAGATGAAAATCACAGTTTCTGTTAAATGAGCATTAATGAACTTTTAATGTTCATCAGACCTATTATGAGCATTAAAACACTTTTGATGAGCATCAGGCTTATTAGGAACCTAACACTATATAAAAAAGTATAAATATATTTATATAAAGTAATAGTATGATTCATAGATCAAATAAATACTTCAAAAATATGATTTAGTCTTTTAATATAGTAATAATGAGCAAAAATAAAAGAATATTTAATATTATAATTACTATTAATAATAGGCAGTATGAAACTATATAGGATAAGTAAGATAAAAGAACTGATTATCTCAACAAGACAAGTTAGTGAGATGGTTGGAAGGCTGCATATCCTATTTCGGTTTTGGGGATCTAATCCCGTTGGGGTTTTTATTTTTTTAGTGAAGGAATTCAGTTCCCTATGGTCACGATTCGCTGGGACAAGATGTAAGCCCACCAGTCAAATTTATTAATTGGGCTGGATGTACATACACCCGGGTGTACGATATAGGGGCTCAAAAATGCTATATAAAATAATTGTCTCTATTTACTAAGTTCAACTCACTTTGTAAAGGTATAACTCAAACAACATCGGGAGTGTTTGCAGAAAATTAAAAAAGTGATTTTCAACTTTTGGCTTAAAAAATGTTGAAATGAGTGTTTTTAGGTGACAATTTTTGCTTAAATTAAACACATAAAAGCTAAAAGTTGGAAGCAATTGGAGTGATGCTTTAAACCGCTTTTCACTTTTTTTATAACACAAAAGACACTTATTTTATCAAACACCACCAACTTTTACTTTTTCAGACTCACTTTTTTTTCAAACACTACCGACTTTTACTATTAATCATTTTCTCTAAAATCACTTTAAAAATCACTTTTTTAAAGTAGTAGCAATCGCAGACACTCCTTTAATACGCTTAAATATGGAAATTTTATAAGGTGAGGTTCAAATAAGAAGATGGTTTTAGGTGAGAAATAAGAATGAATCTCGGCCGTTGAATTTGACTATGTTGTAGTAAAAAATATTTCATATTGCACTGAAATACACAACCTAGCATGATGATATTTCCTTAAATAATTCTGAAATATATGTACTACGTATTACATTTGTCTATTGCAGCGTGAAATTGTTTTGGTACAACATTTTTTTGAGAGAAAATAGCTTATATTAATATAATCGAATCCAACCACACCGCAGCAAAACCAGACACAAAAGACAAGCAAGAACGACCATAACACATTGAAAAAAGATTGGGGTACACACAATTTGTACACAAATTTTGTACACTTGTCTGTCCCTCACAGACAAGTTGTCTTTCTCGAGATGAGTTGTCAAATCCAAATCACAACCACAAGAACTTTCAACGTTAATCCCACAGACAACTCATCTCGAGACAGAAAACTTGTCTGTGAGGGACAGACAAGTGTACAAAATTTGTGTACAAATTGTGTGTACCCCTAACTCCACCCTACACATTACTCAATCATACACCCTGGGACCGGACTCAGACCATATCACCCACTCATGAACAATATGATTCACTAATCCCCACTTGGGCAACTGTAAGTCAATCATGATCGAAGATGTATTCTCGGCATTTATCTTATGTTGTACTTGCCACATACCAAAAGTAAACAAAGAACAAGAGTCATCCCAGATAAACATATTCAGGAAGAAATAAAATCCAGACAACTTTAAGGAAAAGACAACAATAATTTTTGAAACAGCTCAAGACTGATGTTCACTTAGGGGATCCATAGCTAAGAAAAATACATTTTTATATCGCGTTTTCGAGAAGCTCATTCAACACTTATTAAAACTATTACTCAACGAGCAATCAAAGCTTTTATTTTAGCTGGTCGAGGCAGTGAAGTTAAGTGCCAACCCAACATTTTTATGAATGGTGTAACTCACGCATTGGCAATGATAGCCCTTTCATATACGAGTGGTGGAGTAATTTTTTGTGCATCTTTTTTAGCGAATGATTGTATTAATTAATAAGAGTCTTGCGATTTACTCTCATAAAAAATTGTTGCAATATACCATAGGGGTATCAACATTTGTGTCAAGGATTCTCCTGAATCCACTATGGCAACTTTGACCGAGGCTGATCTCGCTTAAGTTGAGCTCAAACCAATTCTCTAATCATCGATAAAAGTCCAAAATTGCGATCGAGACTCAGGCTGACATTCGTGGATGGTTGGTGACACTTCCAGCACTATGGTCGAGCTCCAAGTCAATTGCCGCCTGACGAGTTTGAAATCAATAAAGACATTTATGCTTCACATTATGAGCTGAGATTACTTATCTCTTAGCTAAACACACTACATCCAAGTTTGGCCTCTAAGCTTAGGACCTCAGATAGAGACTGTGGACTTATCATTTCACCAATAAGGCATCATAACATTCACGATTTCACAAAAAAAAAAACATTCAGGATTTCATCATTAAATGAGAGTGTCACAGTATTAATGTCCTGCAATTCGGTTACACATGCCAGCTGTCAGACTTACACATGTGGCTTATCCGGTCAGTCCAGTACGCAAGGACAAAAGCCTATACAACAGTACCAATCAATTAAAAATTATCTCTTCAATTAGCTTTACAAGTGTCGATAGACTAGTGAGGCAGTTACTTTTACCCTTTCCTCAAGTATTTCATTGTACACTAGAAAATATCACCTTCCTGTTTGTTGAAACGAAACACGTTTCTCATTCTCAATCTTACTCGTACTCTGTCAAATTTCTTACTCGATCTACACTTTGCATATTTTCCGACTCTTCCTCGATTTTGCCTAACCCTAAATCAGGAAAACCATCAATCTCAATATCTTTTTGTTTTATTTTTTATTATTTATTTTTTTACTATCAATTTAATATCAATATAATGCATAAAATCTTAAACTTATATATAAAAAAATTATTTTAGAAATTCATTTTTACCGAAATTTTAAGTGTGACCAAACTTGGACTGAAATAGGTCCCGATACGTATTGGCCCCCGTTATATTTTATACTAGTATGTGTACCCGTGCACCGCACGGAAAAATATGTTCTAGTGTTTGTTATGAAAAATATGAATGAAATTTTAAAAAATAGAAGTGATACCAAATTACATGTGAACTCATAAACTGTGCAATTCAATGTTCCCCGGCATTTGCCCCACCGACGACTTAGGTGGTTTGCCAACCGGGACAAAAAAAAGAGTTATATTGAGTCGCTAAGAACGAATGTAGAAATCATTAAGATTATTGTTGAAAAATAGAATTGAGTATATAGTTGCATCAAGGATGCGCAGAAGACAAATGAATCTTAACTAAGGAGAGAGATATTAAAAAAAAACTTGGACAAAAGAATGAATCGGCCTTTACATCCATGTTAATGCGGTAGACCTTGTGATCAAGGAGCTGTTATGCATGTCCAAATTTTATTTTTTGTTTTTATTTTATTCAGACCATATCAGACGATACAAATAAAATTAAATCAGATAAAAAAATATCCACATCAGACATGAATTTTTCAGATCAAATGGATATGACATATTACTTTTATTATTATTATTATTAAATTATTAATAATATCAACATTATCATCGTCATCATTATTAGGAGGTGACATGATCTGGTCCAAATGGTAACATTATGTTTTATGTAACACCGCCCCCAAGTATTTGTACTTTATCAATTTATGTATTGAACCCAAGAAATGAATAAACGCATTTTACGTGATTGTGAATTTTTATCATTTCTTTTACGTGAATAGTAAAATTCACGTGGGGCCCACACCGGAAGTGGGGGCCGCCCGATATTATCGGGACCACATATTATGTTCTTTTGGGTCAAGATAATATGTGTATGATGGTGGATATCCTTGTTGGGCCATAGAAGTTGCATGCGTAACCAATAGGGCATATAAAGTTCATTTATCGGTACCGAAGTAATATCAGATAAAAAGCCATAATAAATTATGGAGACCATCAAATTAAAAGTTGGGAATATACATTCATTCTTAGAGCCAATATTAATTGGAAGAGTGATAGATATTTCATTTTACCCGATAAAATGAAATATAGTTAAAACAGTCCGGAAAATACAACTTTCGGGACCAAATGTACACTTGGGGACATAAAGGGATGACCTCCCATATATGTGGGGGCCACCCCACGAATTTTGGTCTTGCAAGGGGTGTGGAGAGCCGCATGAAAGGCAAGGAAAGGAGAGGGAAGTGATTGGGGGACAAATTTGAAAGAGGAAGGGACCCTCTCCCATGTATTATTATGAGAAATGCCAAAGGAAGCATTCTCAATCACCCACCAACCCATCCCATTCGAACCAAGCCTTCATCTTGGAGGAGAGAAGGTCTGCAAAACACCATTTCCATCACCCATACTTGCACCAAGGCTGAGGGAGAAGAAGGAGGAAAAAGAGAAGGGCAAAGAGGAGAAGAGCTTGAGGATTAACAAGGTAATGACTTATTAATCCCATTCCTTTTCCTTAATCCTCCCATATGATTATATAATCATGTTCCAGACCCCTAGGGTCACTATACATGTTACATGTGAAGAATGAGGGGTTGGAAGATTGGTTCATATCCAAAACGGATTTAGAGAACAAAGTTGACCGATTCGTCGGGGAATAACCTTTTAGAGGTTATTTGTATTGGTATGGGTTTTATGATGATAAAACCTTGTTATTAACTTGTATAAGGTACTTCAAGAACTTTCACGGAGTTGAAAGAGTTGCTGGAGTTGTCGCCGGAGTTAGTTGAAGTTCACCGGAGTTTCACCGGAGCTCAATAAGAAAGGCTAGAACTTCATAAGCTTCTTTTAAGGTGAGAAGACGGCTATATGCTTTATAACTTTTGATTGAGGCATGAGATTACCTAAAGTAATCAAGTATATGTTTTATGGAATGATTAAAGTAAATCAAGTATTGGCTTATGCCACGGTTGTATATAAAACATAGTTGGAAAGCATGTTTTGTATGTTTGGTGATTAAAAATGTGATAACTCATTATGTACAATTCTCTAGGGATCCAAAATGGTATTTTTGGATCAAGGACGTCAAGGAGTACATGCGTATAAAATTTCGCGTTAATCGGACTCCGTTTGGGCGGTCAAACGGGCGTTGACCGCCGAGGTAAAGGTGATACCCGACCGGGTATGGGTACATACCCGACCGGGTATTGATTAAAAATGGCTCCAGAAGCCACTGTCTTACTAGACCCGACCGGGTAAGGGTATGGACCCGACCGGGTCTCAAGTAAAATCAGTTCCAAGGGCTTCTGCCCCGACCTACCCGACCGGGTAAGGTTGGATACCCGACCGGGTATTGGACTAGGCCCAAAACAGGCAGTTTTGAGCAGGTTAACGTGGGTCGTTCAAGTGGGACCCGCCCACGTTGGTTACTAGGGATTATTATATGACTATAGGACTAGGTATTGTCCATAGTTAAGTGAATGAAAGGTTAGCCATATCCAGGTTAGGGTTTGGTTAGAAATAAGGTTGAGGTTGAGTATCCTCGGGACGGTAAACGATCCTAAAACTCGGTGAGGTTGAGTATCCTCGGGACGGCAAACGATCCTAAAACTCGGTGAGGTTGAGTATCCTCAGGACGGTAAACAATCCTAAAACTCGGTGAGGTTGAGTATCCTCAGGACGGTAAACAATCCTAAAACTCGGTGAGGTTGAGTATCCTCAGGACGGTAAACAAATCCTAAAACTCGGTGAGGTTGAGTATCCTCAGGACGGTAAACAATCCTAAAACTCGGTGAGGTTGAGTATCCTCAGGATGGTAAACAATCCTAAAACTCGGTTGAGGTTGAGTATCCTCGGGACAGTAAATGATCCTAAAACTCGGTGGGGTTGAGCATCCCCGGGAGGGTAAACACTCCTGAAACTCGGTAGGATATTATGATAGAATGTGGCTCTTAAGCTAGGCATTCAGGAATGAAAGGGGAAAGGTTGGGTAAGTACCTTGTCTCTAAAAGACTCTTTTGTGAGAAAACGACCTACGGGTCAAGCATTTTACAAGTATATACAGTATGTATTATCTTGGGAATGGGGTGACAATGGTTACACCTATAAATATATGTATCATCCTATTTTTGGGTCTCGTGTCTGAGACATTAGTTATTCCTCATATAGCCTGCTTGTCACTAGTACTTCTATGGAGTACTGACCCCTTCGGGGGCCCTCACATTTTTCAGGTTGAGGCTAGAGTCCTGCTACCTGCACCTTTGCCCAGGGTGAACTCAAATAAGGGAGACGTGGTTCGTGCTTCCATTCTTATTTGAAATTATGAAATTGCTCATGGATATTTGAACGATGTTTTCTATTAAACTATTGAAGGGCCTGCGTGCCCATGTTTGCCACATGTGGCTGAATGTCAAACTTATTTTATGTCCGCATTCACTTGACTTATATATTGATGTTGATTGTATGGGTTTACTAATCGGTTTGGCAATAGAATCTATCGGACGCCTTGTATAATTTAATAAGAATGAACTACGTTGTTCTTATTGGGTTGTACGGCGGTTGTCTACGTGGCACGGATGTGGTCCGGGGCGTGACAATTAAGTGGTATCAGAGCCATCGATTTCTAAACTATATAATTAACCTCTCAATATAGTATCATCAAAAAGTTTTGAACAAAACCATGAGCAAAAGTTTTGTACTTAAGGAACCGTTGGAAACCAAGTTATTGACCTCTTATTGTTAAGACGGTACCCTTAACAGTTTGTTGGCCATAATGTTGGACCAAGTGGTGTCTTTTGTACTATTCCGTCAATTGACATTGATACGAGTCTAACGACTCATTCCAAATTTCTTTCAGAAATGGAGGGTAGACACATGGCTACGAGGAACAACCCGAGAGGGCAAACTCAGGCGACGTCCGTAGGGGCCAGCCAGGTTGCATCTCGGGGTGCGAGAGGCGGTAGGAGAGGCCGTGGAGGCCGTGGAGGCCGTGGAAGCCGTGGAGGTCATCAGGCTCAAACCGTGAGCGATGGCCATGTTAGCTCGGTGCATGGGACTCACACCGAGGATTATGACTCAACATATGTTCCCGAGACAGAACATGAGGAGACCCCATATGATGGGGGTGATACGTACACTGATGATGACAATGATGAGAGTGATGCCAAATTCGCCCAGATGGGTGAATTGTTTGAGTGGTATCAAAAGGAAAAGCTGAGGAGAGATCTTAGGCGCCAAGCTAGGCGTGCCTCTCAGGGAGGTTCGGGTCAGGGAAGCCGGGGGGCTTCAGTGGCCATTCCTGTGGCGACATAGGGGGTACAGGGGGGAGGCTTCTGTGTAAGAATCTCCAAATACCTCAAGGAGGCGAGGGCCTTGGGGTGTAAGTCATTTGATGGCAAGGGTGATATATCGGTGGCTGCCGACTGGATCAAGAAATTGAATGAGGCTGCTAGGGATATGCAGATCGGGCTTGACATAAAGCTAACGATTGCTACCAGGCTACTAGAGGGGGTAGCTGCTGTATGGTGGGAAGGCGTGGAAGGAAAGTTCCACGGTGAGACCACCTGGGAGAAATTTGAAGTAGAATTCTATAATCAGTACTACTCAGAGTTCGAAAAGAACCAGAAGAGGAAGGAGTACATGACCCTGGTACAGGAGGAGGATTGCTCGGTGAGGCAACTGGAACAAAGGTTCCGGGACTTGGCACGGTACATACCCGAGTACGCCATGGATGAGAACCGTATGGCTAATCACTTCTGGGACACCCTACACTTGGATATCCGTGATCGGGCTACCTACAATCATCACATGACTTTTAGTGAGATTGTGGATCAGGGGCTACTTGGGGAAGCCAAGTGGAATGAAAGGAAGAAGAGAGACGCCGAAGAGGCGAAGAAGAGAAGATGGGGGAATTCTGGACCCCAAGACCATTCTCGGAAACATCACGGCGGGAATGGAAGATCATTCAGGGCGCCGGAACCACCGGCAAAGAAGAGTAAGGGCCCAGGAGGGCAAGGGCATAGCTCGGGGAGCGTGAGGCCACCAAGGTGTCTAAACTGTAACAGGAATCACTCTGGGAAGTGCAATGAACCACCCCGGTGCTACAAGTGTGGTAGCACAAGCCACCTCAAACTCTCTTGCCCAATGTTAAGTGGAGGTGGGCCATCGGGAGCTGTTGAGGCACCTACGTCTGGAAGGGGTCGTGCAGGACCATCTCAGGGCGGCACGGGAAGGGGCGGACCTACGGCAAGCAATGCCGCGTCCGTTAACCAAGGTAGGACCCAGGCACGAGTGTATGCAATGACCGAGGCGGATGCGCGAGCAAACCCGGACTCCGTTGCAGTAATATACTAAAATTTTATATGTTTCTAGGCTTATACTAAAGTTATAAGTCCTAAGGGTCAATTGCAAACTGATTTAGGGTCGAATCGGGGGAAATTCAACGAAACCAGGCTGATACCCGACCGGGTAAGGCAGGTCACCCGACCGGGTATACTGAGATTTTGGCCTGGTAAACCTACTGGAACGATTACCCGACCGGGTATCGAAGGTTACCCGACCGGGCAAAATGAAAATTTTTACCCGCGAGCTTCTGGAACGGATACCCGACCGGGTACAACAGGGTACCCGACCGGGTATACCAAATTTCCATACCCGCTGGCTTCTGGATTGGATACCCGACCGGGTACAAAGGTGTACCCGACCGGGTATTGCTGTATATTGTAAATTACGGACTTTTTCGGGGCCTACAGTTCAATTTAGGTAGGCACGGTACCTTACATGACTTATAATTGTAGGAACGTTAAAGATTAATGGAAGGGATGCGAGGATCCTTATTGATACGGGAGCACAACGTTCATTCGTTAGTGAGGTGTTTGCCGTGGGGTTAGGCACACCTTTAATACCAATGATGCAAACCCTTTTGGTATCTACGCCTCTAGGGGATGACGTTGAACGAAATGACTACTATCCTTCATGTGATGTGGAGATAGGGGAGCACTGTCTAAAGGGTGACTTCGTACCGTTAGCCATGCTTGAGTTTGATGCCATACTTGGCATGGACTGGCTTGAAAAGCACCATGCAAAAGTGGATTGCTACACTAAGGTGTTAGAACTCAAGGATGGTGAGGGAAATACTCTATGTTTCAAGGGAGATAGAGAAAGATTCAATCCTTGCATCATATCGGCCATAAGAGCAAAGCGTATGATGGGGAAGGGATGTCCCGCTTACTTAGCCTATGTCATAGGCAAGGAAGGCAAGGGGAAGAGTCTCACATGAGTGAGGGTGGTGAGAGAGTATCCGGAGGTGTTTCCTGAAGAGCTACCGGGACTCCCACCCGATCGGGAGATTTAGTTCGAGATCGAGGTTGAACCAGGCACCAAACCCATCTCAATTCCTCCGTACCGAATGGCACCGGCTGAACTCCAAGAGTTGAAAGTTCAATTGGAAGAGCTACTCGATAACGGATTCATTAGGCCGAGTCATTCACCATGGGGAGCACCTGTACTCTTTGTAAAGAAGAAGGATGGCACAATGAGAATGTGTATTGACTACCGTCAACTGAACAAGGTCACGATAAAGAACAAATATCCTTTGCCAAGGATTGACGACTTGTTTGATCAATTGCGGGGGGCAACCGTGTTCTCCAAGATCGACTTGAGGTCGGGCTACCATCAACTAAAGATCAAGGAGAGTGACATACCCAAAAGTGCATTCCGTACAAGGTATGGTCACTATGAGTTCCTAGTGATGTCGTTTGGGCTTACGAATGCCCCCGCGGCATTCATGGACCTCATGAACCGAGTATTTCATCAATACTTGGACCAATTCGTCATAGTGTTCATTGATGACATTTTGATATACTCCAAGAACGAAGAAGAACACGAGAAACATCTAAGGCTCGTACTCGGAACACTGCGGGAGAAGCAACTCTTTGCCAAATTCTCTAAGTGTGAATTTTGGCTTGGGGAGATCGGATTTCTCGGGCACGTGGTGTCAGGTTCGGGCATCTCAGTTGATAACTCGAAGATTGAAGCGGTCACTAATTGGGAGAGGCCCAAGAATGTGAAGGAAATACGAAGTTTCCTTGGTTTGGCGGGGTATTACCGCAAATTCGTGGAGAAGTTCTCCGTAATAGCATCTCCACTCACGAAGCTCACCAAAAAGGGAGCTAAGTTTGTGTGGGATGACAAGTGTGAGAAGGGGTTTCTTGAGCTAAAGAAACGGTTGACTGAAGCACCAGTACTTGCTCTACCCGTGCAAGGGTTGGGGTATGACATCTATAGCGATGCTAGCATCCAGGGGCTTGGGTGCGTACTGATGCAATCGGGGAAGGTAATTGCTTATGCTTCTCGGCAACTGAGGAAGCATGAAGTGAATTACCCCACACATGACCTTGAGCTAGGAGCTGTGGTGTTTGCTTTGAAGATTTGGAGGCATTACCTCTACGGTGAGGTGTGTCACATTTATACAGATCACAAGAGTTTGAAGTACGTGTTCACTCAGAAAGAGTTGAACATGAGGCAAAGAAGATGGATGGAATTAATCAAGGATTACAACTTGATTATTGACTATCATCCAGGTAAGGCTAACGTGGTTGCTGATGCTCTCAGTAGGAAAAGTTCATCAGGGGTTTTACTCACATGCTTACGAGCATTGAGGGCACACGTGGAGGTATCCACGAATGGGGCCTTATTGGCCAGATTCGAAGTGAGACCCACCCTATTAGACGAAATCAGAACGCGTCAAGGCAATGACGAGGAAATTCAGAAAATCCGGGAACGGATGCTGGTAGGACCCGTCGAGGGTTTCCGTGAGAGAGAAGATGGACTCCTACTATTCAAGGAGCGAGTGTGCGTGCCGTCAGATGAGGAGCTCCGAAAATCTATCCTTGAGGAGGCTCACTCATCTGCGTATGCCATGCACCCAGGTGGAACAAAGATGTATCGGGACTTGAAAGAAAGTTACTGGTGGTCGGGGATGAAGAGAGAGATTGCTGATTATGTGAGTCGTTGCCTTACCTGTCAGCAGGTTAAGGCAGAGCACCAACACCCGGCAGGGTTATTACAGCCACTTACCATCCCAGAATGGAAGTGGGAGCATGTTACTATGGACTTCGTGGTAGGTTTGCCACGGACGGTTAGGAACTTTGATGCGGTATGGGTGGTGGTTGATAGGTTGACCAAGAGTGCTCATTTCCTTCCTATCAACACTACTTATACGCTTGAACGGCTTGCCAAGTTGTACACAGATGAGATTGTGAGACTGCATGGGGTTCCAGTTACGATAGTATCGGATAGAGACCCACGGTTCACATCACGGTTTTGGCCTAAGTTCCAGGAATCCATGGGAACAAAGTTGAGGTTTAGCACGGCATTCCATCCCCAAACGGATGGGCAATCTGAACGGGTGATTCAGAGTTTGGAGGACATGTTGAGGGCATGTGTCTTGGAGTTCCAAGGAAGTTGGGACAACCAGTTGGCCTTGGTGGAATTTGCTTATAACAACAGTTATCAAGCAAGTATAGGCATGCCTCCATACGAGGCACTGTATGGGAGGAAATGTCGGACACCTTTGTGTTGGGACGAGGTAGGCGAGGCTAAGCTTGAGGGCATCGAGCTAATCGAAATCACCAAGGAGAAGGTGAGGGTTATTCAGGATAGACTCAAGGCTGCCCAAGATCGGCAGAAGAGCTATGCAGATAAACGACGAAGGACGTTAGAGTTCGAGGTCGGCGATGAGGTATTTCTGAGGGTGTCACCTTGGAAAGGGATCATCAGGTTCCTCAGTCGGGGTAAGCTTAACCCACGCTACATAGGCCCATTCAAAATCATTGAAAGGATTGGGGTTGTAGCGTACCGGCTTCAGTTAATTCCAGAATTAGAAAAGATTCATAATGTATTTCATGTTTCTATGCTCAAGAAGTATGTACGGGACCCGTCACATATTCTTGAGAAACCACCGGTGGAAATCCGGGAAGACCTTCACTATGCGGTGCAGCCGGTAAAGATCATGGACCGACAGGTAAAGAAGCTAAGGAGTAAAGAGGTACCGATGGTGAAGGTACTTTGGAAGAGTGATCGTGTCGAGGAGCAAACTTGGGAAGTGGAGACCCTGATGAGGGAACAGTATCCATTTCTGTTTGACTAGACACGGATTTTGGGGACGAAATCCCAAATAAGGGGGGTAGAACTTGTAACACCGCCCCCAAGTATTTGTACTTTATCAATTTATGTATTGAACCCAAGAAATGAATAAACGCATTTTACGTGATTGTGAATTTTTATCATTTCTTTTACGTGAATAGTAAAATTCACGTGGGGCCCACACCGGAAGTGGGGGCCGCCTGATATTATCGGGACCACATATTATGTTCTTTTGGGTCAAGATAATATGTGTATGATGGTGGATATCCTTGTTGGGCCATAGAAGTTGCATGCGTAACCAATAGGGCATATAAAGTTCATTTATCGGTACCGAAGTAATATCAGATAAAAAGCCATAATAAATTATGGAGACCATCAAATTAAAAGTTGGGAATATACATTCATTCTTAGAGCCAATATTAATTGGAAGAGTGATAGATATTTCATTTTACCCGATAAAATGAAATATAGTTAAAACAGTCCGGAAAATACAACTTTCGGGACCAAATGTACACTTGGGGACATAAAGGGATGACCTCCCATATATGTGGGGGCCACCCCACGAATTTTGGTCTTGCAAGGGGTGTGGA